ATTTTATCGGATGATCCCCGAAGGGTTGCTCCGCCAGCAAGCTTCTCCACGATGGCTCCGGCAAGGTCCTCCGCAATGTTCGAAATTTACACGCGAAACTGCGCAGAAACATCAGTGAGCAGCTTTGTCATAGCTTGCGCAGATGGACGCAGCCGAGGAGAGCATGTGCAGCGTGAGATGTTAGAACGAGCGACGCACCTCCACCAGAGACCACTCGCTCCAGGATGCGACCGCAATTTCTCGAGCAACAACTCCCGCACTATATATGTCAGCAGCCTGTGTGTAACAATTGCCGCTGCTTATCTCTGGAGCTGCATAGCCCTGAGTGCCATACCTGCCCAAGAACTCGGCAGTTTGGGATATGCTAGCATGCCCAAAATCTATAATGATAAGGCTGTGGTCCTGGGTGAAAATGATGTTGCTCGGCTTCAGGTCCCTGTGGATTGCAGCGCGTGAATATGCGACAGGGCACTGAACAGCTGACCCAAAATCACAAGCCCTCGTTGCACGCACATGTTTCCAAGATGGAGGCGATGGGCAAGGGTCATGCTGCCCAACTCCAGCACAAGGAAGCCCCAGCATCCGGAAACAAAGTGTTCAATGAGTTGCACAACACCGGGGCCACGAGCACGTTGCAGCATGTCACGCTCGTGCTCAGCACCTGCGCGGCTTTGTCGTTTTATCGCGACAGTGCCAGTTGCGCCTCGTGCCAACCAGACTTGGCCATAACCACCTTGCCCAAGACAGCGTACAGCGGCGTAACCATTCTTCCAAAGGTAAGATCCCATAGTGAAGCTCGTTTGACGATTCCTGGCCAAGAATCCTGAGATGACCGGCTGCAGTTGCAAGGCGGCGTCTTTTCGGGCAAACTCTTTCTCCGCAAGCTCGTGTCGCAAGCCATCTGCAGCCTTCCGACCAAGAAAACCTCTGATGAGGCGTTGGATTTGCACTGCAGCCGTTCTTGATTTATGCTGAATCCATGTTTCCACTTCGCAGCTGCCATTCGAGAACAGAAAGTCTGAAAACAATTTCCGGCGAAGGAGACGCTCGGCAAACACTGCCACAATCTGGAAGCTGCATGCAATCTGAACTGCAATCTGACAGTAGCTCACGGCTTCTAGCACCACCATAGCGATGCAGCTGCCAGGGTTCTTCAGGGTTCGCAGCCTAATGCTTCCAAAGGTTTAGGGGGCTCACGGCGTACAGGTCGGGAAAAACACTGAACCCAAAAAGAAGCAAGAGAGGATACTATAAGTGCTGGCATACTGGTAAACGTCTGCAAACTGAATACTGTCCCATCCGGCCGCTTCTTAGCCAAGCCCCGGTCAAACAATTCCGTATCTGAGTTTCAGATCATTGCAACAGCTCGGGGCCGCTGAGTTGACAGTGAAGGGCTAGCTAAAATAGCAGCCTAACAGCACTCTGCCATGTTCTGCTGGAAGCCACGACAGGTTGGGCTTGTCTTTGTCAACTTGCAGATGCTTCGACACTGTTTTAGCTTCTGTTTAGGGTTCAAGCATATGCGGGCCTTCTGTCGTTGAAGCACAATGCCACAACATGCCCTAAACAAAACAATGAAAAGGGGATGGGGCTGAACGACTGGCCAACATTGGCAAAATTTCTTGCGGAAGGCATCCCACTACTGCGATTCTGACAAGGAGCCCAAACCTAGAGAATGAATCTTAGAGCTTATGCCTTCAAGCCAGCCATACGGTGCTTAGAAACTGTTCGGCTGACTGCAAGTGAGGCTCGCCGAAGGCGATCGTGATGCCTGCCGCAAGTTGCACTGTCAGGCTACGAAAGGCACTGCAGCAAGTCTGAGTTGCAGCAGTAGCAGCAGTAGCTAGCAGCAGTAGAAGTTGTAGCAAATGTAATAGTACTAGGGCACTAGCAGTAGGAGCAAATCAAGGGTGGTGGTCATGGTAGTCGTCGTCGACGTGTGGTAGTAGCGGTGGTGGTGGTG